CTTCGTCTGATTCTTCGGCACATCGTCCTCTCCTGCGGCCTATTGCCCAATCGGCCAGTTGACTCCGCAACTCCGATATCCTTGGCACAATAACCACTCTTCTTGGCCCGATGCCCGAGTCCACGGCCCGAAGCCTTCTGTCGATACGTCGACCGATCCACCGGCCCGACGTCCAATCTTCTGACATGTTCCTCCGGTACAACATGATGTTCCTGCTTTAATTGTCTCATCCTGATCAAAGCATCCTGCATCACTCAAAACGCATATTAAATCATAAACATATATCAAGTAGTTTCATCATCAAAATACGAGATTCAACAGCAATCTAACAAGTGCGTTTGCAGAAGGCAGAACAATGCGTAGTTTGTTCAGCAAATCGGAGTAGTCCAAGGGGATGGTAGTCTCCGAAACGAAGAGAGATGTTGCTCCAACGGGATAGATATCCAGGAGGGATAAGTCTCGGCTCTCTAGAGGGAGAATCATGGCGACGGACCACACATGTTGAGGAGTACCTCAAAAACAACAACTCCACGAAGCTCAATGGACCGAGCGAGCGGTGAGGAGTCGTTGCATGATCTCGCTTGAGAGAATGCGTTGGCAGATGCATTGCATGATCAAGTGGGGGAGCGACCCAAAGCAATACAAATGAAGACACACTTGGAGTCAATATGAAGATCAGACTCAAGGGAGGGCTGACTCGTGGAATGGTGGGCGCGAGGGCCACCATCAACTCAATGCAAAAACGAGGAGCAGAGCAACTTGGGTGTAACTTGGCGAAGTACCCAAGCTGTTTGAAGGGAGCCAGCATAGAAGATGGAACATGGAGTAGAGGCACAGTGCTTTCCTTGGACAGAGGTCAAGGACATGAACTCTTGTAGAGGCAAGAGCAAGATCATGTTGTTCCATGGGTCCTTTATTCTGACGGAGCAGACTCATCTTGCATGGTGTCAAAGACGAAGGTAGTTTCTGGGCATATGCACCTTATCTCGGAGAAGCATTTGATGGAGGAACTAAGGCGACTAAACTTGCAGAGGCGAAGTTGAGTTCAGAAGGTCTTGGCACAGGGCAAGAGGATGTGGAGGTACTCTTGAAGAATATGCCACAATGTTGCCATTTAAGTTGCTTGAAGGAAGCGATGCATAGTGGAGATTGTGCTAGTAGGGGCAAAGGCCTAGGTCCAGACAATGGTATACTAATTGCAGTGAAGTCGGTGGACTTCGAGAGCTACTAGGCGACGGACTATCCTAGGGCGGTGGTTCATCTTGGTGTGACCCAAGAGCGGGTGGATGAAGGTTGATTGCCAAAGGAGCGAACAAAATCGAAGGTGGAAGAGACCCTGCGATGTATTGACAGAGGCCACACATGGAGGGTTCACAATTCGAGTTCATCCCACAAGGATCAGAATGCAATGTAGATGTCACCAGGAGGCGACATGGTGCAGCGGATCGTGGTGGAATAGTTCGTGGCAATGCGATACACACGGATTTAGTCTCATGAGGGACTAGATCATACGGAGGGATTATCGAGAGCTATTGGAAGCTTCACTTCGGTGAACAACACAATGACAAGAAGGGCTATGGATTCAAGGAGTGAAGGTCATGGTACCGCAGAGGTGGGTTTTGCGTGCGTGCATCAAATTTTGCATTGGATGAAAACCTTGGTCATCAGCATATGGGGGCTGTGTTCCACCAAGGGAAAAGTTCGAATGCAAGTACTAGTGAGTCCCATGGGAGGGACTTGATCATGCAAAGGTATGATCGAAGCAGCTGGAGAGTTGGATTACTCCAGAGCCATATTCGCTTAAGGGAACCCGATAAGTCAGAGGACATGATCGAATAAGCGAACGTTGCTACCAAGGAAGCTAAGGAGAATAGAATCGATGCAAATCCTACAACGTGATGGCAGAGGCCATGCATGGGAGTGATAATCTGTCTTTCCATCGACTAAAGGGAGCTGCTTGGAGAACACAAAGGTGTTGAAGCAGGGGGTCGAAAGGGGTGAGGAAGCGACGACGAGTCCAGAGGGACTTAGCTACCCAAAATCAAGCATCAGTTAGAATGGAGGTGGACTCGAAGGAGTGCCACAGAGACATATCTACTGATTGTGAAGAAAAGAGATGTAGATGCGAGGTGACGGATAGTAGGGCCATGGGCATGGCAACGCCATGGTACTACAAAGGCGGGATTTCCGTGAAAGTCATTGATCCCTTGCTCTCATGGAGGGAGAGCGCTTGGTCATGAAAGGGGCCAAGGAGGTGGAGCATACAGTGGCAATCTCCAAGTACCAAGACAAGGCTGAAGGGCAGAGGCCAAGGAACTTCAGAAGACCGATGTCAACGAGCTTCTTATCAAGATAGCCGAAAGGGAAGGACTTCGGATCATGCAAGAGTGCACGACCAAGGAACGAAGTAGGCAATACGCGGTGCTATACCTTTGCTACTCAGCGGAGTAGGCGGCAGGGTTGATGGAGTAGACGGTACAATCCCAGAGGCGACCAAACCTATCAGAGAATTACTCCAAGTTGGGGTGAAAACTTCCTGCATTCCAGAAGTTCGATGGCATTGAGAAGGTGAATCATAGCATCTAACTCGACGCAAGGAGTGCAAACACTTCAAGTGCTTCAGAAGTGTGAGCAAAGAGCAGGTGAAGGCCAGTAACCAGCTCGACGCATGAAGTATAACCTTGAGGAGGCGGGCGAAGTCAAGTAACATTTACCTTCTCAACTCTTAAGAGAATGGGAGAAACTAAGTACCTCAATTCTCTTATCTATCCAGCAGAGGAGCTTTGCACAGGTTCAAAGACCCTTCGAAGATAATGGAAGACAATAGTTGTCAAATCCTCACCAACGGTGATTAGTGCTACTAAGAGTAGATTGTCCGCTTCATTTCCCAACGAAATGCCAATCGAAAGCGGAAGTGATGTGAACCTACTTGGAAGGGACAACTAAGTGAAAGAAGAGTTGATGGACAAATTTTGTGGAGGAAGGACACAAAAACTTCGAAAGTTGCGAGGCGATGCTTGTTAAAGCTCCAACAGGCATCCACCCAGTTCAAGAAGCATGAGGCATTTGAGAGACTGGCGCATAGTAAGGATGGTCTTTTCCTTTATTTGGAGGATCTGTAGGACCCAATAGGGATCAACACAACTCAGCCAATCCCACACTAGAGTTAGAGTCATTGGCGAGTTGAAGCAGCATGGCAGATCAAAGATTTGATTACTCAAAAACAACAGCGGAGAGCAGTTGAGAGCCAAGAGGTACATTGCAGTTGGAGTAGAAGATTGAAGACTCAGCAAAGGTGAGGAGTTGTAGTGTTGACAAAAGCTTCGACGAGGACGTCGAATGAATAAGTGGGGGAGAATGTCACGGATAAAGTTCTAAACAGGATGTTTGATGTAATACTTGTGTATGTTCATGCCTTTCTGTTTATTCATGCTTTGCACAGCATGTAGAGGAACAGTTGAAGGCTTAACAGCCCCATTTTCGTTGGGTTTGGTGGTCTTCTTAGGCTTGTAAATAAAGGTTGTGTCATGTGGACACTTGTGAGAGTTACTCGGTCTGTAATGGACCATTTTTCCCCTTTGTTGTGCAACTGTTCAGAGCTTGTAAAGTCTATTTGTAATTTGCATTGTCTATGAAGTGTTTCCTTAAATGTTTGCTTGTGGATCCCGAGTGATGTGCTTCTTCTAACCCGTTTTCTCTTTTGTAGGTCCTAAGGGACCGTGGGAAGTTTCAGGGAGGCTGACCTTTACGGACGAACACGCAAAGGTGCTGCATGACTTAGGCAAAACCAGCTAAGTCCATGACATCATGGCGACGGGTTCTTTCTTCATAAGTCCTTTACTGTGAGGTGTTGTGTCATTGCTCAGTCGTCATTTTTTTGCTCACGCCTTGCATCGCTGCTCCTTACTTCGAGGTCACGATGTCTTCGTCTTCCTCCTCTTCGGGTCAGTTGGTTCCCGAGATTAGCGACTCGGGTTCTGGTAGTTCTAGGATAGAGGTGATTAGTTCCTCGTCGGGTAGTTCGCCCCCGACGGATTTAAAGGCCTTCGCGGCCCTTCAAGTGATAAGGTCGTGGCATGATGTTGATTCGATGGTGACCAAGAACCTCTTAGGTTTGATTCGGGATCGTTGTAGTATCCCAAAGAATTATGGGCTTCACGCTTCGCATACTGGTCAGCATCCTTACGATTCATCTCCCAATGGGTTCGCACTGACCACGGATGCATTGGAGGCGGGGTTGCACTTCCCGTTGCACCCGATTATCGAAGAATGTCTCCACTCATGGGGGATCTCACCATCCCAGATGGTGCCGAACTCCTAGTGTTATTTAGTGGTTTTTCTCGAGGAGTGTCGAGGGGTAGGGATTGAGCCAACCCGAACTCTTTTCTTGGCCAGCTTCCGCCTGTGCAAAGGGTGAGGCGGGTATTACTTGACCACTTGAAGTGGCTTTAAGATTAACGGGGCGCCCTCCAATAACAAGGGGTGGAAGACTCATCATCTCTTTGTGAGCTATAGTCGGGGGTGGGGGTTTTGTGTCGGATGGACTTCCCGAGCAATTAACAATGTTCCCCCATTTCTTTCACATGAGGAGACTGAGCCCGTGGAACGATTAAGAGAGATCCTGTCCTCCTCTCAAGCCATCAGGGGAATAACCAAAGAGTGATTGGTCGAGACGGGACTAAGCCTAGCCCCTAGGGGTAGGATTGAATTCGTGCCCAGAGTGGACTTGTTCATCTATTACAAGAACCCAACTTTTTGCAATGATATAAAGGATCAAGAGATGCCAGTTTCATGAATGATATACTCATGGACATGAGCAAAATCTACTACGATATATAAAGCCACAGTCATGGCAAATCTCAACAAGAAAACTCATCAGTAACGCGTCCTCGTCATGCTGAGAGCAATGACGAACCAATCTGTATTTGGTCCAGAGAATGAGATCGATCTAATTCGGCTTTGTGGTCCTAACCTGATCAGCTTTGAATACCCCCGACAACAACAGTAATTAAATAAATAATATATTCAATCCTGATTTGATTTGAAGAATAAACTTTTAATAATATATTTAATTAATATATAAAAGATAAATATTTAAAATATTTAATAAATATATAATTTTAATCAATATAAAATTTAATTATCTTGATATATACAAAATATTTTTAAACTAATCAAATTTATTTAATTTATTCATCGACTATTATTATAAATTGCTATTGTATGTGTGTGTATATATATATATATATATATATGTATATATATATATATATGTATATATATATATATATGTATGTATATATATATATATATATATATATATATATATATGTATGTATGTATATATATATATGTATGTAGAGTAGTCAGATTTATTTTGTTAAAATATTTTATTTTTCTGAGTTACTCTGATTCTTTTTGTGAGTACTTGTCTTCCTATCTCATCTTCTTTTTGTCTTGATTTTCAACACATTATTCATTATTAAGGAAAGTTTGGGGTCATTTTTTACTTGAAGAGTTCTATGAGCATAGGAGATTCGGGTCTCCTTTTGTCTTATTCATCCAATAAGATCTTATCAGATCAACATAAACTAATTTTAATGAACTTCCTTTGTTATTTTCTTTGTCTTTGGGGTCATAAACCCCAAAGATAAACCAATTTTAATGACCCCAATGTTTCGGGGTCAGCCAAGATTGCAATATTAGCAAAATTGACTGATCTTGTTTTGTTTGAATTGGTCGGCATAACATTGAACGGATGAAATGATGTCAAACTTGTCCTCAAGGTAGAACCTAAAAGTGGGAGAAGACTTTTGATGCTGAAGAAGAATAATAATGTTGGTAATAAAATAAAAACTCAAAAATAGTGAACATAAATTTTTAGGTGATCGAGATCTCGCGTCTGTATCCATGGCTAACATTCAAAAGACTCTCTTAAGTTCAACTAAAATAAGCATAAAATCTCTTACAGATGTTTGACAGCGACTTTTAAAATTGGGAGAGAAAGATTTTGTACTAAAAAAGAATAAAAATTAGTTATAAAATAAAAAATAATAAACATAAAATTTGGGAGATTGATGTAACACTCAAAACTACTTTCTCCTGACTTAGAACCCAAGCATAATATCTTTCACAAAAACCTTGAAGAAAGATTTTTCTATCCAATCGCTCTACATTTCCCAGAGAATGTTGTGGAAACATATAAAGTGCATTTCTTCAATACTATCACAAACGTTGGTTTCTTTTCCTCCAAGCAAGTAGTTTTCTTAAAAGCTTGAGCTAATTCATATGACAAAAAACGGCAGACCCCACTCCTGGCGACGTCCCCCGCACGTGGCTAGGCTCGGTGCCCTGGGGAGGGCCATGAAGCTGACGGGCTGCGTCCGGACGTTAGCCTGACGGAGCCCACAGCCCCCTCGGTTGACCCAGCACAGTCGGACGAGACAGAAGCAGGTAACGGTTGAAGCTCGCCCATACCCTGCGACCCCCCGGTCTCCCACGCAACATCCTCGGCGATGTCGGACGCCATTAGAGATACGAACCTGACCGATGTGATGGCGCGCCCGGTAATGCCAAGTTCCCCTATAAACGTCCCCGAGCAAGAGGTCGAAGGAGGAGGAACTCACTCAGACAAAACACTCAGAGGCTCTTCTTCTGCCTCATCCACAACCCTCTCCACGTCTTCCTCTAACTTGATCGTCGGAGGGGTCGGGCCGAGCTCCCGGCCCGACCTGTGTGCAGGTGCGAGACGGTGTCGCCCCTTCCTGAAGCTGCAACGGAGCTGCCTCCCGACC